ACCTCTTAGATGGGGAGAGGCTCCTTCTCGGTCCAGTGCAGTGCTTCCCACCTTGCCCAGTCTTTCCAGCCACCTCTCACTTCCCTGATGAACTGTCAGTTCCCTGAGGTCAGAGCCCATGTATAACTGTCCCCAGTACGGCTGTGAGCACCCAGGCAAGTGCCTTGTCCACCAAAGATGTCCAAAGATGAGTGACTAAGAGAATCAGAGGCTTATATCAAATGGAGTTCACACGACCTCTAATGGGGGTGAAGATTAAGATGCTAGGCACTGTGTAGAAGAAGGGTTGGTATCTTTTTCCTCTCTGTCAAAGGCTGGTCCAACTGGATGTGTCTTAATTCTGAGAATGTCCTTAGGTGTGCCAGCAGTTTCGGAAGTTCCATTCTGAGGCTTCATCAGGGCCTCGTTTGTTACTGTTCCACTTCTGAAATGTTATCACATACTTTCTCTCCCCCTTTCCCTCCCTGCCCTCCTGTTCTTCACTTTCTTTCCTCTCTGTTCTTTTCTCTTTTGTAGTTGAAACAGAGCTGTGTAAAATGTGTCATATTCAAATCCAGTTTAGTTAAGCCAAACTTGACCTTGGCTTTTGTGTAATTTTGAAGTTAATTGTTTGAGCAATGGAGGGCGAAGGTAGCATTAGAAAGACTGACAGTTTCTTCACCTCCTCAGTCAAGAGGGTGAGTTTACTTGTTTTAGTTGGCAGATATATAGCATCCTATCTGATACAGGGCACAGAGAAGCTAAGGTCTGGGTTTAGCAATGACAGAGAGTGAGTTTTATTTTTTATTTTTTTAAGAATTATTTGTTCATTTGAAAAACAGATTTTACGGGGGTGGAGGTGGTGCAAGACAGAGAGAAAGAGCTTCTATCTGCTGGTTCACTCCCCAAATGATCACAACAGCCGGAGATAAGCTGGTCCAAAGCTTATGTAGGCACAGGGGCCCAAGGACTTGGGCCATCTTCTGCTGCCTTCCCAGGCACATTGGCATGGAGCTGGATCAGAAGTGGAGCAGGGGCCAGCACTGTGGCATAGAAGGTTATGCCTCTGCCTGCAGTGCTGTCATCCCATATGGGCACTGGTTCGAGTCCTGACTGCTGTACTTCCAATGTAGCTCCCTGCTAATGTGCTTGGAGAAGCAGAAGATGACCCAAGTGCTTGGGCCCCTGCATCCATGTGGGAGACCCAGAAGAAGCTTCTGGCTCCTGGCTTTGGCCTGGCTCAGTTCTGACTGTTGTGGCCATTTGGGGAGTGGACCAGTGGATGGAAGATCTCTCTCTCTCTCTCTCTTTCATTCTCTCTCTCTCTGTGTCCCTGTTTCTCTCTCTATGTATCTCCTTCTCTAAATTTAAAAAATTAAAAATAAATAAATATAAATAAAAACTCTCTCCTTTGGGGCCAGGGGTTGTGGTGTAGCAGGTAAAGCTACTGCCTGCAATGCTAACATCCTAAATGAGTGCCAGTTCCAGTCCTGCTGCTCCATTTCCTCCTTTTTTTTTTTTTTTAAAAAAAGATTTATTTATTTAGTTGAAAGGCAGAGATACAGAGAGAAGGGAAGAGACAGAGAGAGAGAGAGAGAGAGAGAGAGATCTATCTTCCATGTGCTGGTTCACTCCCCAAATAGCCACAACAGCTGGTGCTGGGCCAGGCTGAAACCAGGAGCCAGGAGTTCTTCAGGTCTCCCACGTGGGTACAGGGGCCCAGGCACTTAGGCCATCCTATGCTGTCATCCCAGGCGCATTAGCAGAGCAGCCGGGACTCGAACTGGAGCCCATATGGGATACAGGCACTGCAGGCCAGAGCTTTAAGCTGCTGAGCTGGCACAGAGAGAGTTTTTAAAGATACAGCTACATATCAAGATTTAAGTTCAGAAAGGTCCTTTTGGCAAAATTTTTGTTTCCTGGAGACTTTCAGGAACTCTATTGAGTTAGTTTAGAGATTAGTCTTCCAAAGTAGGGCTCTAGGAATCTCTGTTTCAATGAGGATTACAATTTGGTGATTCTAGGTTTTATGTGGCAGTGGCTTTGCTGGCTAGAGATTTCTTCCATATACTGCCATCTTGGTTGTGCCTGCTTTTATTACATAGAATTTCTACCTACTATGAAACACATGAATGCCAATGAGTTAGCAGAAAACACCTTTCAGTTTTTCTTCATGAATTGTGATAATCTGTTTTAAAAGTAGATTTGTAATTTTTTCAAGTTGCATTTTAATTTCTTTTCTCCTGGGAGGTTGAAAACTTGCAAATCAGTCATAACTAGTTGGAAATAAAAAATTTCATCCTTTCTCTCTCCCTCTCCCTCTCCCTCTCTCTCTCTCTCTCTCTTTCTCTCTTTCTCTCTTTCTCTCTTTCTCTCATGCTCACTATGAGATGTTGGTCAAGGCATAAATCCCAGAATCTAGGAAGACATTTTCCAGCCATGGCTGCCCTAATGCATGGATCACCTGAGCTCTCCCCCGGAAGACAGGCCTGTTTTCAAACTGGTCGGTCAGTATAGAGGACAGGCAGGGCCCTGACTTTGATGCAGCTTAGGAATCAAACTGCTTCCAAACTACCCCATTCTTCCTTCTTCACTCTCTTATCCTACACCTAGATAGGTTATCTATTCTGTCTAATGCATCCTATAGCCTGTAGGCTATATATGGCTTGAGATTTCCCTAGAGGTACTTAAAGCTGGACACCCCTGGGGAGCATGATCAATTGAACTGTTGGCAATAATGGGTGTCAAGTTTGGGATGCTTGAAAGGGGTGGATTGAGTTCCTTTTGGGCAACAGAATCCATTTATAGCAAATGTTTCCATCAACATTCTTTGCTTTGCTAACTATAGAAAGCTGGCCCAAAGCAGTTGAGGAGGAGAGAGAGGGAGAGGGAGAGGGAGAGGGAAAGAGAGAGAGAGAGAACTACTGTCTGACATAACTGGTTTCCTATGGGGTTTGACTTAGGACTCACAGATGTGACCAAACCCAGCTTTGGCTCTCCGCATGACTCAACTCACTCCAGTGGCTCCACTCACAGTCAGTCTCTACCTTTGTGGCTCAAGATGACTGCATGCACCTCCTAGAGCTACTTGCACCTTCTTCAGGTCCAGAAAGGGGATATGGTAAACCCCAATCACATTACACTGGGAACAGGGGCAGGGTAAATTCTTCGATGTACTGTAATAATTAAAATGATGAGATAAGTTTGTCATCTGTTAAATGGGCAAGAATTACAAAAGAAGAGAAATGCCATGGTTTGGCGAAGATTCAGATAAATAGTTCCAGTGTACACTGCTGGTGAGAATCTAAATTGGTGAGAACCTCCTGAAAGACAATTTGGCAATCTATGTGAGACATTTTTAAAATGTGCATGCACTTTGACTAAGCAATTTGGTTTCTGGAAATGTTAGGAAATAGTCATAAAAATATATAAACATTTCCTGCATGAATAATCCTTGAAGTTGCATAGAAAAATGAAAAACTGGGAAAATAAACTTAATAACTAAATTCAACTCTTGGTTAAATAACAAGGTATAGTCATATAGTGCATTCATTTAAAATTGTTTTAGAATAACATTTAGTAGAATCGGAAAATTCCTAGGCTATTGAATAGAGAAGTACTGTAGATTGCCGAGCATTTTGTAAGAAGATTGCCAGACATTGGAAGAAGATACACATAGGGGCAAATGTTTGGCACAGATGTTATGACACCACTTGGGAAGCCTGTATCCCATAGCAGAGTGCCTGGGTTTAGTCCTGGCTCTGCTTCCAATTCCAACTTCCTGCTAGGCTGCACCCTGGGAGACAGTGGTGATGGCTCAAGTAATTGGGAAGCCTGGATCAATTTCTGGGCTTCTGGCTTCATCCTGGCCTAGCCCTGGCCATTGTGGCCATTTGGAGAGTGAACCAGCAGAGGGAAGATCTCTCTCTCTCTCTCTCTCTCTCTCTTTGCATGTGCACCTTTCAAATAAATAAGCAGATACAATTTTAAAAAGAAGATATACACAAAACAGAGAATGTACACATGTACACAGGAAAGATTACAAGAAAACATACATCACCATAGTAACATTGCTATACTGTTAAGGATAATGGGTGGGGCTGGCGCTATGGTGTAGCCAGTAATGCCGCTGCCTGCAGTGCCGGCATCCCATATGGACGCTGGTTCGCATCCTGGCTGCTCCATTTCCCATCCATCTCTCTGCTATGGCCTGGGAAAGCGGTAGAGGATGGCCCAAGTCCTTGGGCCTCTGCACCCACGTGGAGACCTGGAAGAAGCTCCTGGCTCCTGGCTTCAGATTGGCGCAGCTCTGGCTGTTGGGGCCAATTGGGGAGTGAACCAGAGGATGGAAGATTGCTGCTCTCTCTCTTTCTGCCTCTCCTTCTCTCTCTGTGTGTGTAACTCTGACTTTCAAATAAATAAATAACTCTTTAAAAAAAAGGGTTATGGGTAATTTGTTTTGTACTTTACTTTACTTAAGCAATTTTTAATATTTATTCTAGAGTCAGAGAGAGGGGAGTGGGGAGAGAGGGCTCCCATCTGCTGGTTCACTCTCCAAATGCCTGAAATGGCTAGGACCTGGCTGAACCAAAGCCAGGAACCAGAACTCAATCTAGGTCTCCCACATGGGTGCTAGGGACTCAATCACTTGAACCAGTACCTGCCTCCTAGGGTCTGCATTAGCAGGAAGCTGGAGGCAGAAGCTGCAGCCAAGAACCAAACACAGGCAGTCTGAGACACTGGTATCTTAATTTCTGGGACAAACACCTTCCACTAAACAATGTTTCATATGATGAACATGTGTTACTCTTAAAATCGGAATTTTTTAAAGCTAAGAATACACTAAAGTCTTTTAATGGCCAAATTATCCATTAACATTAGATTGTTCTCCCTATTGTTTGATTTGCATCCAGTTATTTCTGGGTACCCTCCACCTTTCCACCTACCTCCCTTATGTACATTGCCATCTCCCCCACCCCAACACTTTTCTGGAACTCAGTCCAGTGTATTTTCTCCCCTAGGGTATGGTGCATTCCAGCAGAAGCTTGTGCCTTTAGCAGGGGATGGAATCCAGTTGAACACCTTCAGAGGCGCTCCAGGCTGATTCAGTCCTTACCAAAGTGGGTCTGACGTTCATCATCTCCATCGGTTCAGCAAGTACATGCTTCGTGTGTGATCCATCAGGATAACCCCACATAACCTATCCGTTCTTTGCTTGTAGTAGATGCTCAATAGATGTTTGAATGCATAAATAGAGCACTGAGATAAGCAGAGACATTTTAGAGCTCTCTGGGGATAAGAAAAGATAGAAGAGCTGTAAGAGTGAATAGGAACCGGATTGACCAGGGCTGACCCAGGCAAACAGCAACACAGAAGTTCTGCCTTCAGGATCCCCTTGTCAGGTGTCTTAATCAGTACTACAAGTCTGCTGCTCCCACACAGTTCTGTCGGCATGCGAGGATGCAGCAGTTTGAAGGAAGGAATTGTTAGCCTAGCCCCCATTTTGAGGGCTGTATTACAGCTGTCAGTGGAGCAGGATATTTTTCTAGACAGCAAGTTGGGAAATTCCCTGAACTGGTTGGCAGCACCACCAGCAGGGGGTGGGAAAGGATGGGAAGTTTTAGTTGCCCTTTGCTGTTGAATTTGCCAGATGTGTCAAAGACATAATAATCTTACCAGCAGATGAGAAACAAGCCAGTTAAAAGAAATCCATGGTGCTTCTCACTCTTCATAAAAATCTTCCATGACTGCTCTTCTGTCAACTGTCAGCACTTAGTAAAAACTCTATTTATTTACTTACTTGAAAGGCAGAGAAACAGAGATCTCCCATCTACTGGTTCAATCTCCTAAATGCCCCCCAACAATTGAGGCTGGTCCAGGCTGAAGCCAGGAGGTAGGAATTCAATTTAGGTCTCCCACAGGCGTACCATGGACCCAACCACTTGAGTCACCACCTGCTGCCTCCTAGGGTGTGAATTAGCAGGAAGCTAGCATCGGAAGCAGGCAGTCCAATACAAGATGCAGGCATTGCAAGTGACATATTTTTTAAAATTTCTTTATTTGTTTGTTCATTCTTCAAATGCCTGCAACAGCCAGGGCTGGGCCAGACTAAAGCCAGGAGCCAGAACTCAAAAGTCTCCCATGTGGGTGGCAGGGACCCAACTACTTGAGTCATTGATTAGCAGGAATCTGGAATTAGAGTTGAGCCAGGACTGGACCCCTGCAGGGGTTTAACCTCTGCACCAAATTCCAGTCCCTACTGCAAGAACTTTTTTGTGTCCTACTCCCTGAATTCCTAGTTATAGGTTTTGCTATTTTGTATTTGTTTCTTTGTTGCTTATAATTATTCTCTGGTTGTTACATGTGAAAGGTTGTGTTTACTCAGGGAGCAGGGACTACAGCGGAAAGAACACACACCTTGGAAAGTCAGGCTTGGTTATTTACCTCCAACGTTTTTATCTTTGACAGTTAATCACCCTCTGAGCCGTAGTCCCCTTTCTCATCTGGAAATGAACTACTGCTAACCATCCTCACGATTGTTCTGAGGCTGAATGGCATGACAGCTATAGAAGTAAATGTAAAACACGATGTAAGTGTATGGCATTACCTTTTGTATGGAATGTAGAAGACTCCTAAGAAATACGAGATAGTATGCAGTGTGGGCCTATGAGGGAGTCTGTTTTGTCACAGTACTGGTGGGAATAATAATGGCAGCTCATAGAGTTGATGTGAGGGTAAAATGGAATAATCCATGCAAAGCACTTCCCAGCAGTATCCAGCATGGAGAAAGCACGTGGGAAATGTGAGCTGCTGTTTGCTAGTGACAGAGGGGAAGATGTGAACAGGAAATGCATATTTGAGCAGAGAGCATAGGAAGTCAGGGCTATGGGAGGAGCACAATGTAGTAACACGAGCTCTATAAGTAGCAGTGTCTGTAATCAGTCTGGGAAGCCTTCACCAAGTAATTGGGCTTTCTGGAACCCTTTGGATTATGGCTAGAAGCTGACTTGTTGGGACTGAGGCTATTGGAAAGAATATCCCAAACACCTGATACAACTTGGAAGCAGTTGGGTGGGGGTGAGGTGACCGGAGGATGGGAGGTTGAAAAGTTCTGAAATAAAGAAGGTGATGTTGACTGAAGTCTGGTGACCAAAATGTAGGCGCATACCTGTCCAGGATAAAGGAGGGAAGTAAAGCGTAAAGCAGACTAGGACCCCCCCCCCCCCCCCCCCCCCCCCCGCCGAACATGTGGGAGGTCTTCAATTTGACGTGTAGGGTGTGACTGACAGCACAGCTGGCCTTGTAGTTGAATGGGGGTGTTTCAGACTTCAGAGAGGGACAAGCAACCCTAATGCAGCTGACCAGGTGAACAGGGAATACATTATTAATTGAAGTTTTGTCTGATTGTGAGGATGAAGGGGCAAGGAAGAGAAAGCATAGACATTACTAGTTACTGGAGTTGGGCGGTCCCCACAAGTAAGAAGATAGCTCTTCTTTAAGAGATGAGGGATTCAGAAAAAAAACACTGAATTTGCCTTTACAAAAGGTGACATTGTACTGTCCCTATGAGGGATTTGGTGTTAGAACATCTACCTAATTTCAACCAAAGTTCTTTTTTTTAATATTTATTTTATTTGAAAGATAGAATTACAAGGGAGAAGTAGAGACTGAGGGGGAGAGAGAGAGAGAGAGAGAGAGAGTGAGTCTTCTGCTCGCTGGTTCACTCCCCAAATGGTTGCAATGGCTAGAGCTGAGCTGATCCGAAGCCATTAGTTAGGAACTTCTTCCAGATCTCCCATGTGGGTGCAGGGGCCCAAGCACTTGGGCCATCTTCTACTGCTTTCCCAGACCATAACAGAGAGCTGGATTGGAAGTGGAGCAACCGGGATTTGAACTGGAGCCCATATGGGATATCGCTGCTGCAGCCACAGCACTGGCCTCCTCAACCAAACTTCTTTCATGATGGTGGATCATGCCCCAAATTGTAGATATTGCTTACCGCATTCAAAAGATGATAGAACCACAGAAACATGAGAAGGGTCGCATCCTCCTTGAGCATCAGATGCAGGAACTGAGGCTGAGGGTTGAAGCCAGCCATTCGAGATTCTACAGGCGTATCTGGTTCAATTCTCTTTATGTTTTTAGTTCCCTCCTACAAAGACTTAAGAGTTCCCTAACTTCCTCGTTTGCTATCTGGAAAGGATCAAGATGAAAATTGCAATTTTATTTCGTCGCGGTCCCTGAGCGCAGCCAAGTCCCCTTTAAATCCGTCCACTCTTCTCGCCATCTGGCAGGCTTTGATCGGCCCACCGTGTTTCTCCATTGGCCATTTTGTGTTGCTTCTCTCCCCCTTCCAGAATTCTCAACCAATCAGCTCTTCGCTCTAATGATCCCCGTGGGCCTTGAGGAATGTACCACATGTATCGTGCGGGGGTTGGAAGAGAGAAAGGGAGTGGCAACGGCGCTTTGCTTTACCGTTTGTCTGTAACCCTTGAGTTCCCGGCAAAAGCTGAGTCTGTGGATAGCGTCGAGGTCCCTGAGCACGGAAGCAGCTGCCGGCCCCAGAGGCCACAGAGAGCGCGCGCCCCCCAGGCTGAGGTCCCGTGGTCGGGCCTGGAGGGCCGCAGCCTCCGCCCTCCCATGTGCCCGCCCAGCCTCCGCCGGCGGCGCCGCTGCTCCTGTTGCGGCCGCTGCCAACGCCGCTGCTGCTAGAGTCGGACTCCAGGAGTGGGACTGAGAGGCTGCGGGACTGCGGAGCTGCGGGTCCCGAGTCCCGGAGCGGCACTAGGCGGCCTGGGCCGGGCGCGGGCACTCCGGCGCCGGGGCCACACGGCAGCATGAGGCGGAGGTGAGAACGCGATTTTGTGTCCTCGACCGGCCCCAACCGCCCCGGGGAGCCGCATCTCACTCGCGTTCCGAGCTCGGGGTTTCCGGGCCCCCCAGGCCGGTCGGATAGCTTGCTTTGGTGCCGGGCCTGCCGCGGCCGGACCTGTGGCTGAAGACCTCCCTCCTGGCAGCCGGAGGGCTCCGGACCCGCTGTGGGCATTTGGCGCCTCCTTCTGGCGGCCGCTTCCAACCTTTTACTGCCTGAGGGTGACGCCACCGGGAAGCCCCCACTGGCGCTGCCCGGCCCTGCCCTGCCCCTGTCCTTGACCTCCGCGAGGTGGACGTCAGGTCAGGTTCGGCCAGGAGGGTCCCGGGCGAAGCCGAGCGAGTGGGAGGGAGAGTGGCCGAGACTTGATGTGCTGCTGGGTGCCGGGGCAGCTCTAAGGGACTTCCCAGAGTCTAGGGGTCTGGGGTCTTGGAGGCCTCGGGATGGGGCTGCGCGCTTCTCTCCCGGAGCATGGCTTCCAGGGGGTAGACACGCCTTCTGACGTCCTTGCCTGGACCTGTGGCCTGCGTCCGGAGTGTGGGGTGCCGGGGTCGTTCTGGCAGGTGGCCACCGGCGTACCCCGAAATGCTGCTTAGACGTTTTCTGTGGTAGCGTTCTGAGGAGATGGCAGCTACTTCCCCGATGCCTTACAGAGTGAGCCGCTGTTGGAGGTCTCTGTGGCACAGTGGAAATCCCTCGTTTTAAAATCACCTTGAGGAGCCCTGCACAGACCCAGGGCTTGCCGGGTGTAAGCAGAAAGCCAGCCGTGGTGTCTGTCTTGGCGGTGCGTGTTTCTGGCGTCTCAGCCTGGCATCGTGGTAAATGGCGGTCACATCCCCCAGCTCATAGTTGTGTGTGGAGGATCAGAGGAGGGGAAGCCCCTCACCCCAGGCTGCTGGGCTCCATCCCATTAGGACATGCACCTACCTTAGATCTTGGCGGGTTTTTCTCCAGGGTCTGAATACAGAGAAAGTATTAACAGGACTACAAACCACATTTATGTTCTTTTAATGTTAGTGTTTAACACAGATGTTAATTATGGTTGACATGGAATGAGTTAAGGAGAGGAAGGGAGGTGAATTGTGGACAGTGTTTTTGTTCGTAAAGCTTATTAATTGTCTTTTTTTTCCTTAAGTGAGATGTGGATGGAGAGGATGGCATTTAAGTATCAGGGCACCAATGTGTATTTGGTTCTGCCTGACAGTTTGCTGCAAAGACAGTCATTTTGGATTGATGGCCTGTACCCCAGGGGTGAGAATGCCTTAAGTTTTATGGTGCAAAAGTCTTACTAAAGCGGCACCTTCTTCTTACCTGGCCACACAGACGCTGCTTCATTGTTCCTTGTTGTGGTTGCCTTCTGTGAGCGATCACTGAAGGACCTGTAACAGTATTACAAACTGTCAGAGGCAGATTCAGAAATTTGGCCCAAATCCTTTGAGGCCTACATACAGTAGGCTTTTAGACTGCAGGTTGTAAAAGTTTTTCAGCTCTTTTGTTGGTATTAAGTAGCATGAGTTAATGTTGGAATTACAGGGAAGCCATGCCTTGGGCATTCCTCTTAGAAAGGATCTTTCAGATTCAGTGACCTGTTTCCTCAGCCAGGCATCCGTTTTGCGTTTACAACTCTAACGTTTGAAATATCTAAAACTTGTCTGCCAGACTGTGATTTCTTTTCTCCTCTGACCTGGGGTGGTGTTTCTAGGTGTGGGAGAGGCTTTGGAGGTAGTGTGTGAAGAGTACTTAGCATGGTGCTTGGCACATAGTAGATGTTCAATAACGTTAAGTAACTTTTTCCTTTCCTCCTTGGGCTTGGGAGATCTGGGCATGATGAAACTAGATGCAGTTTTGATTGCACATTCCCTTCACCAGTTAGGAAAAGTCACTCCCCTCCTCCCACTCCAACCTCAGCTCTCCTGACATTTTAGTGGTAGATTAGAAATGAAACCCACCCTTCTGGACTTAGAAGTAAAATCAAACAAGGAAAAAGCGAGCTCTCCTTCCTGGCTCATATGTTGCATTTTTCAAGAACAGACGGTGCATGCCCTAGAGGTCTTACATCACTCAGTGCAGGAGAGTAAATGGTCTGAATTGACCCTTTCTTGGATCTGTGGAGCAGTTGAACAAGTGAGTCTTTTGGTTGTTGTTGATTTGACGTGTCCAAGTGGAACCAGAAGCATTACCTAATTTCTCCTGGCACTGGCATCGGAGAAGTGGCCCAGTGGTGGAGGCCTGACTGGCAGGCAGGGGTACCGTTGTAGCTTTCGAAGGCCTTGCCTCTGATTTAGGCTCTGCGAGGTGTAGCTGTGTACCTCCTCCTGCTTGAAGCAGGTTCCATGTGAACAGATGAAAAGGCTGTGAGACCTGATGTTTTACCAAGAACCATCATTGGTTTATGCAGAACGTGAGTCTGGATGTGGCATTTTAATAATAATTGTGCTCTGGGGTTACTTACTGCTTTTTCTTCGAAGAAGTGAAAGCTTTTTCTTTAAAATCACATGTTATTTCCTTAATTCTTGTCTCTGAGGTTATCAGAATTTGATACCTATATGGTTCTCATTTTATACGTGAAGAAATGATGGTGATGTGTTTTGCTTCATGCTGCAAGTGAGTTGGTTTCTGAGCTGGATTGAATTTTCCTTCGCATATTTATCATTGCTGCCTTTGGAGGAAAGAAAAACTCCATACCTGTTTTTGCAAGCTGAAGGGTTTGGTGAGAT